GGGGGGAGGGGTTAATGAGGAGCTGATTGGGATCCAGGATTTGGGAATTTCTGCTTTTCCTCGCTGGGAAATGATGGAAAAACGGGATCGGGGACAGATCCCCCGGTTCGGGTCCCTCCCCGGGTTTATTCCCGGTGCTTTTGGGGCAATTCCCGCTCTTTTCCCACAATTCTCCCACTTTTCCCAGAATTTTCAAGGTTGGGAGGAGGAAATGATGGGAATTCCTGGTGGGAATGGGATGGGGAATTGGGGATGGACCCGCGTTTATTCCCAGGATATTCCCGCGGTTTATTCCCGTTTTTTTTCCCAGTGTTTCCTGCTTTTATTCCCAGTGGTTTTGGGGAAATTCCCAGTTCCTTCCCCGGGTTTTTTTCCTGGTGGTTTTGGGACAATTCCCAAGGTTTTCCCAGAATTTTCCAGGCACGGACAAGGAAATGATGGAAAAATGGGATCGGGAATGGGGGCGGATCCAGGTCCTGCTGCAGGGTTTATTTTGTTTATTCCTGGGATTTTGGGGGCAATTCCTGCCTTTGTTCCTGGTGGTTTTGGTGCCACCCCGGCGTTTTTTCCCCAGTTTATTCCCGGTGTTTTTGAGAAAATTCCCGGTTTTTTTCCCCAGTTTATTCCCAGTGGTTTTGGACAATTCCCGGGGTTTTCTGGGACAATTCCCGTTTATTCCCGCTGGTTTTGGGGCCATTCCCACGAGGTTTTTTTTTTTCCAGTTTATTCCCGATGTTTTTGGAACAATTCCTGGGATTAATTCCCAGTTTATTCTCGGTGGTTTGGAGACAATTCCCAGGTTTTCTTTCCTGCTGTTTTTCAGACAATTCCTGTGTTTATTCCCGCTGCTTTTCCTGCCATTCCCGGCGATTTTTCCCACTTTATTCCCGATGTTTCTGCAGCAACTCCCGCTGCTTTTGGGGGCGATTCCCGGGGAATTTTTTATTTTCTGTTCCCAGTTTATTCCTGGTACTTCCCCGTTGTTTTCCCAGAGTTCTCCCCTCAGTTTTCCCGGTTTTTTCCCGGTTTTTTCCCGGTTTTTTCCCGTGTTTTTCCCGGTTTTTCAGGCGTATTCCAGGCGCGCGGCCCCGCAGGGCTCGGGGCCCTTGGCCGGGCTCAGGTAATCGCGCAGCTCCAGCTCCATTTTCTTGGCCTTCAGCGCCGCCGAGTGCAGCTTGTCCAGGAACTCCGGCATTCCTGGGAGAGCCAAGGGCTGGGAAAGGCTCCACACCCCGCCCCCAGCCCTTCTCCCCCTTTTTCCCTTTTTTTCCCCACAATTTCCCCTTTTTTTCCCCAA